ACCGGGGATTGAACTCGGGTCCTTGCGCTTGCGCAGCAGGCAGCGAAACCACTGAGCTAAATCCCCAGCCCATCATTTTCCTTTTTCATACCTGTAGTTAACCATATTTTAGAAAATTTTATAGAAACACTGGACTTAACAACATGACCTAATTAGTTTATTATGGGGTGACTGAGATCCCACAGGATAAATAGAGAATAATGAACCAAGATAAGATGAATCTATGACACCTAAACAATATTATAATCAAGTCAACTCAGAAATTATTAATGTCTCATAGCATTTTCTTTGTCTTTTCTTTTTGAACACAGTATTTTTCAAAAAGGCACAGCATAAGAGAGGATCTGATAAAAAGGGCATGGCCAGAAAGACTCTTCAGATGTTTTCCAAGCATCCTGTCTTCTTCAGCATTCAACATCCACAGAAACAGAACACGTTAAAGGTTCAGCCTTAGCCTTTCCTGGAAGTTTTCAAATTAACCTAGTGAACCAAAACTAGGTCTGTTTACCATGGCTAAATAATTATATCTGTACTATGATGAACTCTTAGAAAACTGTAACCTCAGGAACAAAAAATAACTTAATTTTTTGTGCCTCAGGTCCCTCACCTGAATTGTAAATGTTAATAATACCTACCTAAAAGTGTCTCCTGTTGTTTGCTGTACCAGCACTTACATTGTACTATCTATGTGTTATTCAATGACACAAAATTAGTGTAAACTGATCAAAGAAAACATTTTCATGGTGTTTAGACTGAGGTACATTCTATTTGCCACCATATATCTTTTAATAACTCATATCTTAATTTTTAAAACACCTACAAAGGAAATTGTTAAAATCCTTCCATACATAAGCATCTAAAGTAGGATTATTATTCTCCAAGGCATATCTGACAAATTTAGAAATTCCTAAAGAATACTCAGCCATATTTCCACTTACAAGCACATAACATAGCATGATGAACACAATTTGCTTTCTTCAGTGCCCTCATAAGAGAAAGATTTTTTACTTCTCCACTAAAGCTATAAGTTAGAGAAATATCCAGTTTGTAAGAACAAATGCTGTTAGAACCATCTTGCAATTGTGCTTAACTGAACATTTCATTTTCTTATTTCCACTAAGACAAAGAAGGATTTTACATAGTGAAAAGAGAAACAAACTGTTGTTTTCGTTATCCATGGCTGCATTCTCCTTGGCTTTCAAGAAATGCTAGACATGTCTTTCAAATTGTAGTAATTTTAAAAGCTGTACATGATGATAAAAAAGAGGGTTACTCATCAGATTTGGGAAGGAAGATGTTTTTTGAAAATATTGAGATGGTTTTTAAAGGATACTCATCTGAAATACAATGAATGCACCTGCTCATTGCTCTTATAACCAAAGCCAGTCATTTGTGCAACTTAAAGAAGAGGCTCTTCTATCTCACATAACAAGACATATGAGGGGCCTTCATGTTGTATGTACAACTTTGAGTCACATCATACACCAAAGACTCTACCTCTTTCTCTACATGTAGCCCATGGCATGCTAGTAAAGGTTATGGTGATAAATTGGCTGTACAGGAAGAAAACAATAGCCTCGATTTGTAGAGTTTGTCCATTTCTATGGGGCATCTATCATTACCACATTTCAAGGTACCTAAGTGATGGCACTAAAGGTGAGTTGACAAGAGACAGTGCAGTCCTCTTTATAAGGAGTCTCCACCTACAGATGCAATAGACTAAATAATCACAAGAATATATATAATAGTAAAATGCAGTAAAATAATTTAGAAAGTGTTAAGCATTGAATTTCAATTAGCTTTGCTTTTCATAAATTGTATTTAACTGCAAGTTTCTATAATTTCATAGTGGTTGTGTTTGTCAACTGTCTTTCACAATCCTGGATTAGGTGACAATTGCTCTCACAGTCTGACACTACTGGGCTTCACCTACCATGTATCTCCCCTTAAGCAAAAGTTCCATATATTAGTCTATTTTGACACATCCATTAATGAATTTTCATTCATTATATTGCAAGGTAGTTAAGTAGAAAGCTTTATCTCGAGAATACAAAGTTTAATCAATACACCTCAATATCTACATAGTTTCATAGAATAATAGTGTTATAAAATTTTATTATTAAGAAAGATTTCTGAGATTACCTGATTCAACTTCTTCTAAGATTTACCATATAGATTACCGGGGTGCCATTCTTTTTCATTTTCCTTCTTCTAAATTATCCTTGTTTTTCTTGTGTAGCACTGAGGACTGAACCTAGAGCCTCACATATGCTAGACAATTGCTCTACAGTTGATCTCTGGTCTCTATTCCAAGGTCTCCAAAATTACCACTTTGGTTTTTTGGGGGGTTTTTTTGGTACTGGGGATCAAACTCGGGCCCTTGCGCTTGCGCAGCAGGCAGCGAAACCACTGATCTAAATCCCCAGCCCCCAAAATTACCACTTTGTATAAAGAATAAAATTCAATTCAAATTCAACTATTCTTCAAAGACTTCCATAATTTCACTGTACCACCACTACTTTTTTTTCCCCTGTAACACTGGTGGCAAACCGACAGCACATGTGCTATAGCAGGCTGTTTGTTAACATTGAAAGCTCTAAAAGGTTTGCCATCACTGTCCTATAGCTTCTGTCAGTCAGCAGATAGCATAACAAACCAGTGGTCTTCTCACTGTCTTCTATAATTGTCATTTTTCCCCTCTGAAACTATTTCTTTATCTATGTCACACATTCATTCACTCATGTACATTTCTCCATGGTAGACTACTTATATATATATTATAAATGCTTATTTCAACTATAGACCCAGAGTATCTGAGTAATAGAATCTAGAAATTTACTTTTAAAATAAAGAGCCCTCAGGAGACTCATAAGTTCTCTAAAGTTTTAAGACTGAGTTATTTATCATGGAGTAACTAGATATTAAAGGGAGAATAGGAGAATCCAATATACAAGCTCTAGTAGTTTCATGGATCTAAAATTGTAAACAGTTATAACAGTGCATCAAGTACTGAGGCACAATAGTGTTCAGAACCAAGGTAAAGGAGTGAGTGGCAAATACTGATCACTGAAGAGAGATTTCTTCACATAGGAGGTAGGGGCTACACCAGGTGCTGAAGAAGGTTTTTCTCTTTAGCTGATTCTCAACGATCAAGATACCCTGAAAGGACAAGAGGCACTGAAAATGATTTAGGCAGAGCCTAAACCAGGGCTTTGACAAGTCTGGAAGTCTCTAGGAGAAAATTTTTCTTTTTTTGCATAAATTCTTTTATTGGTACATTTTAGGTATACAACAAGTTTACATTTAACACTGAGTGCTTGTACCGGTACATGATGTATCTTGGTTCTTAATTTTTCCCCATGACCTATGTGCCCTCCCCCGCTTTCTTATTTACAAAGACTTTGTTTCCATTTTTTCCTTTTCTGATAATTTTTCCTCTCCCTTACCTTTCCCCTTCCCCTCCCTCCTCCCCTACCCCTTTGAAACTTTTCTTCTTAATGCAAGTTATCAATTATTTGTTGTAATCCTTTTAATTCTTAAACTTTCAGTTTCTCACACTAGAGAAACTATTCGGTATTTACACATGTGTTCTATATATTTCACTTAAGAGTATGTCTTCAATATGCATCCGTTTAGCTATAAATGTCTCTAGTTTCTCGCTCTTTATGGCTGAGTAGTACTCCATTTTATATAAAAAAACACATCTACTTTATTCAGTTTCCAGTTGATGGGCACTTGGGCTGTTTACAAGCTTTAGCTATTACAAACTGTGCCACTATAAACATGAGTGCACATATATCACTGTGGTATGATTCTTTTAATTCTTTTGGGAAGATACCCAGCAGGGGAATGCTCAGTCAAATGGG